TTAATAGTGTGTGTGTGTGTGTGTGTGTGTGTGTGTGTGTGTGTGTGTGTGTGGTATGTGTGTAGTTGCATTCTTATCGTGCGTTTTACCCATGCGTTTTTCGATCGATCAACCTAGCACTCATATTGCGATGCATCAGTAATCTTCTTTATTGATAAATTATACGATCGCCGATTTTAGTTTAGTAAATTGGAAGACATCAATGCTGCCTCGAGCCACCAAGCCGTATAAAAATACGGCAATTTCAAATACATCCTCTCTAAACAAATCTCTCTTTACATTTTTCCTTTTAGATGTTACGTCATTTAAATGTTACCGATGATGTTTCCACACATGATAATTTCTGATTTCAACTTAACTATAATTGTATAAATAATTATTTCGATGATTCTAATCGAATCGCACCTGCTTATTCGCACTAGACTTGTCAACGAAAGATATTTCAACTATGATTGACCCTTGACGTTATATAACGGGGAAAGGGCAAAACCGCCTAATCTTCTTAATCGTCGTAACGTTAGTAAGTGCGAAGGGTGAAAGTGCGCAAGTTCCTCCCGACCTGACCACCGCGAACCCAAGAAAATGAGCCCAGGGCACCACGGCGGTGGGCGGTGGGCGGTGGACGTGGGTAAGGGCTGTGGAGTAAGGTGAAACGCGGGGAGTCACGCGAGGGCAACCCCCGTGAAACTTGGAGGTGGCACGAGAAATCGCCGCGGTACGTTCCCGGTGAACTCCAGTCAGTCTGCAGAATGAGGCGCGCGACATGGTTGCTTTTTGTGTCTACCCTGATTATCATTCAGAAGACTCACGTTATCCACTCTCAGAGGACTCATGCGCGACAGGGGTCCAATCGCGAAAGTAACCCGACCGTTAGCATACCTGGACAGGGAACCGTTCTCGGCAAGGAGGTACATACGACACACGTATTTTAATTTCTTTCTGTTAAGATTTTAAGTTGTTAACTCAATGAGATCTGTCATCCCTGTATTCTATTTAAAGTTGACAGAAATTTTATTTTCCAAATGAAGATTAGATCACACAAATAAATGGTCGATCAATGTCGAGTATTAACGTTATTAAATTTAAATTTTACTTCTATTCTTCTTTTAATTTTAAACAATTTAAAACAGGGATAAAAATAAAAATCTTATCAAGTTAAATTTATCTTAATTTACTAATACTTATTATTACTAATTACAGTCGATTGGAGTTTGAATCTTTAAGTAAAGATCGTCCATAAATACGTGATCAAGTATCTATACATAATTCGACTTTTACTTTCGTTTAAGTGTTGTTCTTTTTTTTAAACTGAATTTAAAAAAAAAAGAAAAAAAATAATTTAATTCTTTATTTTAATTTTAATTCTTGAAGAAAGTGAACTTTATAAATTAAACAACAAATTAAG